GTGTTTCAGATGAAACTGTTCAGTATTCACTTTGGCTTTGGAATTGAGGACTGTTAAAGAGACAAAACAAGACATTCGACCTTATCCTGGTTTTAAGGAGACTATAAAAAATGTTCCTCTCCACACCTAATTTCACAAATAAATATAATTTCCCTATATATGCCCTATTTGTTCATGCATTATTATCTGGGAAATTGCTGAAATATACATTTAAACATCTCTATATCGCAATGGGAAAAAAATTGGTTACAGTTTCTGGATCTTCCCCTTGATCTGGAGCCGCACCAACATTTAATGGGTTCCTAACCCTAGCATGGATATTAAGTACTTGCCAGTGCTGCTGTTCTTCCTAAGGTTTTATTCTTTGATATTAATGTTTCAATAAAATATCCTGGATTCCTGCACAGATAATTCAGACTGTCATGTTGAAAGCTGCATTTTTTAAGAGCAAGAGAACGAAGTGGACCTACGCCAAATGCACAGTAACAGGTCAATTTTGAGTGTGTGGCACTGCACATGAACTGTGAGGGTGAGCTTGTGCGGAGGATGATAAAACAACATCTAAGCAGCCAAAGGCTCGCAGCCAGCCAGAAAGCGCTTTAGCTCATTTGAGGAGGAGCCGACAAAAAACCCGCACATCAGTCAATCTGTCACCGGGAGATGCCCAAGGTTGAATTCAACTTTTGAAAGGAGCGTGGGACGGAGACGCTGCTGAGAGATGGGAGAGTTAAAGGTAGCGAGAGAGCAAACACAAACGAGAGGGAGAAGTAATACTCCAGAAACATGATCAAGCTCACTGTCCTGACCTGTAGAAATATGATGCTGCCAAACAAGTTCTTCAGCGCAGAGCGTGCACACACTGAGTGTTTTCCCTGGTGGGACTGACTAGTCAGAGCTCAGTGAACAGATTCAGAGAGTGGAGGTGAGACACGCACACACTCTGCTCTATTACACCCAGCAGTATTTGCCTAAGGATGGTGTTTAGATTTGGGTTTAACTGCCTTCTGTCAGCACCTTCACACACACACACACACCTGACATTTTCAGCTTTTGTTCAAAGCACCAGACAAATGCTTTACCTCTGAAACACGTCCCAGCCTTCATTTTGTATTTTAAACCTCAAGATGACACCCTAATCCAGAACAAATCTTCATGGTTGAAGTGGGCTGGGGGCCTTCGCTGTCTTGCTCAAGCCAAGTTCACACTTCACTATGTGCTGTCTTGTGTGTTCATACTACACATTTACACGATCTCACATGAGGAAAGAACCCTGACTAGTATGGCTGGTCCCCAATTTATGTTGAGTATGGTCAGTTTGAATGATCCTCCCCCTTCTCTGTCACATCCTGCTCACAGAACGACACATCAAGCTGGAGGATCAGAAACGCTTCAGTGCACATCACAGCTGCATCGACTACAGAGTGGCTCGGGCCATGTTTTTGTGTCCAAAGCCCGAACCAAGAGCAACTGAGCCCGACCCATACCTGACAGGCACTCATTTTGTTCTGTCCAAACCTGATGCAGTTCATATGAGCTGCAATTACTTTGTGTTACCCTGACTCTGGTCGGAGTCTGCGGCATGTCTGCAAGCCTCTGGAATCTTGTCTTTGGAAGGTTCACACACGGCAATTTGGGAATGCAGTTTAAACCCCATTAGCCCCTGACCTGGAGCTTTTGTCAGCAACGTTCAAAACTTGTTGGTGACTGTAAAATCAGGCTAAAATTATGTTGTGTGAACGAAGCTTTATCAAGGGTTTCTCTGTCGTTATTTCTGCTGATGCAGGAAACAAACCTTTGACCTTGCACTTATCAAACAGTCTCTTTTTATGTACCACACCACTGTACCATGACTTTCATCAATCACACTGGTTTCAAAGGCTGGGACTGAGGGCCAAAGAGTCACAGCAGATAAAACGGCCATTTTCCCTCAGCAAAGTCTTGAGGTAATGAGGCTGTGTTGTGATCCGAGCTCCTTTATGATAGCTTTAATTTAATACCCTAAGCTTGCAGCTTGATGTAGAGGAGCAACACATTTTTCCATATTAATCTGCACAAAAGACAGGGGGATAGAGAATGTTTTAACACGCAATTTCTGTTTCTTGCCTCGATCCACTCCTCAATTTGGCTTCCGAGCTGCAGAAGCCAGGTCGCTCTGTCAATCTGCCCGTCAACTTGGATCGTCAGACACATTTCAGGGGCACGATTTCTCTTAAACTTCAGAACGCATTCATCTTCATCTCCTGGCGCTATACGTGCAAACTCTCTTCCTCTTAAAATACTTCATACCTCATCTTAAAATGTTCCCCCCCTTTTTCTTTTAGAATCCATCATTTCTTACACTTGCTGAAGAAACTCAGATCCTGTCAGGAAAAGTGACATTTCATGTATTACGATAAGGCTCTCAAGCTCTGACAACTGATAAATTGATTTTGATCCACAGAATCCACTCTAGCTGTCAAACCTGTGACCTTCAGGCTATATGGGACGCTTCCTCTCACCACCGGACGCTCAGCTCCTGCCTGTGCGAAACGTGAATTCATTACATCACGGTAATAGCTCAGTCATGCTTGTTTAGTAACCGGTGAGAGAATTTGCCGTGTCCTGCATTTTATATTCCGCGTGGTGTTTTGCCCTTCAGCACCTTCAGCTTGCTCAGCGGAGCAAACCCCCACTCGTCTGCTGTGATCGGTCATTAACAGCTGCGACCACCTGTGTGGCCATTTTGCTGCAACGTTCGCCCCCGTGTTTCGAGTGCTTACGTGCGGCCTTGTGCGAGAGCGTGAACACACTACTACTGCTAAAACGCTTCTGCAGCACTGCAGAGGGGAAGACAGGGAATTATTAACATTAAATAAGACCTTCACACGGACGTTGGCGCCGGGTTTCAGGGGTGTAATGAAGAATTCCGGGGCCTTTGTGTGCTTAGAACCTAAATCCAACAGAAACATTTCCAGATGGGGAGGACAAAGGGTGTCAAAGCTTTTGGTGGATATTCCTGGCAACCCTGCAGGCTGCTTGTTTGTTACGGAAGCACGCCACAATCTCTGAAGCATCCTCAACAATCAAAACTCGATTGCACTAAAGCTGGACCAGATGACAACAGCATGTCTGCTGCTCAGGCTCTTTGTTTGTGTGAGCGGCAACTGTGTGTTCAGTGTGTGTGTGCATCAGGAAGGTGCACTTGTGTACGAATATGTATGCAGTCATGTGTAAAATTTGCATGTTGAGTGCATCAGCGTGTGTGTGTGTGTGCGTGCGTGTGTGTGCGTCTGACAGCAGGCTGATTAAGCTGTTGCATAGTAATGAGCTATGGCTGTCTGTCTGGCAGCTGCTCTGACAACCTCTTTTCACAACTTGGCCCTCCCACTCACACATGCAGACTCACACACACAGGCGTTTATTGTGTACTTGCATGCACCAACACAAGAAACAACTCTGAACAAGTATCAGAACGAAGAACTGCAGCCCATTGTTGTACTTGTTAAATCTGTGGAAAAGTAAAGTTGTGTAAATGCCGACGAGGACAATTAACAAAGCATTAAAGGAGATCACGTAACAACACACTGCTTCTTATAGACCAAGAGGAAACGGCTACAACTCCTCTCCTTCACCCTTTTGTCTCTGTTGTTTTCATCCGGATAATGACTGCCACTCAGGAATAAGTCATTTCCTGCTTCAAATCACTGATGTCAGGAGAAAATATCATCCACAGGCATAGAGAGGGGAACCGTGCATGTGCGTGTGTGTGCATTTGTATGCTTGAGTACCTGTATAGCGCCCCCACCTCCCCGCCCCCCTTACAAATATCTCCAGGGCAACGAGATTGATGTGTGCGCTTTCAAGAGAGCGCCGTCGCTGTCCCTCATTTCACTGAGGTCAGTGTCAGTGAGAGAACATGGAGACTAATGCGGCACGTAGAGGAGGTGTGAAGAGATAGAAGTGACAAATAAACATGTTGAGTTTAAGAAAAATCTGAGATGAGAGAAAATATGCAAAAAAAACAGTGTTTATGTTTACAGACTGATTTTGTCTGTTGAGGGGAAACACTGGGAAGGCTTCAGAATCTAAGGCGACATCCACACCACAACATTTGCGTTTGAAACAGTAACTCTGCTACTGAATCGCCTGGCGTCCACACTCCTCAAGAGTTCTAGAGCCGATAGAACAGTTTGGAAACCCTACTGGGGTTTTGATTTGAAAGCTTTTAGTCTGGACGGGCAGAAACAGAGACATTGGTTAGAATGACGCTGACACTCTCAACTGCTAGCTGAGTGTTTTAGGTCCAGACGCAGCCTTCTTTATTTTACGATGATACATCTGCTTACATGAGCAGGAGATGAGCTATTATTCAAGCAATCTGCAACAATTCCTGTGTCCAGTGGGACCTGAGCAGGACGCATACTCCGACTGTACATGAGTGGTTGTGTTACACATACAAGGAATTTGCTGAAGTGTGTTTGTGTACTCATGAATATACAAATATAAAAAATATAGATCTAAATGTAATATATGTTAAATTTAAATAAACTAATTATTGTGGTAAACTGATTTCCCTGTAGGGAATCACCTCAGTCCCAAATAGAGGCGGGCCAAAATATCAATATAACAATATATGGTTGTACTGACTCAAGAATTGATCGATGTGCTGGTGGCATATATCAATATTTATGTATGTTTTTTAAGAGTTTGGATTTTTCCTTTTATTGGTTATATGTGGCACGTGTGGACACTGACAGGTTAGATAAATACTAAAGTGGCACTGAGATAAGACTCTTCCTCATGAGGGTCATTTTGTGTTCTTCTTCGGCAGATGTCACGATGCACTGCTATACGATTGTCTTGCAATTTATTGATAATCGCATCATCACTGTATCGTGATATTATCGTTATCGAGGGCCATGTATCATAGTCCCAAAGGACCCCCCCACACACACACACACACACACACACACACACACACACACTCGTGCAAAAGACACCAGGGGCACATCCATCCTTACCTTGTTGAAGTCCCCTTCCTCACATCACACATCATGCACTTGAAAGCCTCGGCCGTGTTCTTGTATGTGCACACGCTGCAGTCCCAAAACCCCTCGTCGGAGGGCTTCGGTTGACGCTTCGGCCTTTAAAACAATAATAAGGAGAAAATTAAAAACCAGATGGAGGAGCAGGAGGAGCAGGAGGAGGAGGAGGCGTGAGTCCACGGACACTCTCGACAGCAAACATCGGGGTGAGCCCGTGGGATTTTAACGGGAAATCATGTGCGCGCGCTGTGATCCAACACTGTAATTGGCGATGATGTCTTTAAAACACACACACACACGCACACACACATGCAGTGCGCGCGACACCGTGAAGAAGAAGAAGGAGAAAACCCCATTTCCCCCCCCTCCTCTCTCGATGTCCGCTCCCCCCCTCCTCTTCGCCGTCGCACTCGGCCGCGTTTACCTTGTGGGACTCCGCTTGTCGCCCATGCCAGACCGGGGTTCCTCTGGAGGTGCTGAGACGAGCACGGCTCCGGTTCTTTCTCTCCGACGATGATTCTTTTCTCAGCGGAAGGGAGAGAAAAAAAAACGGAAGCGATGCGCCCGTCGTGCCCGCTCCGCTTCCAGCTGTCGCGGAAACTCCGCTTTGGGAAATAGTCACGTGACGCGCCGCAGCCAATCACGCGCCGCGCTGCGTCCCGAGGCTGACATTCCTCATGGTGAGTCTGTGAGGCCTTCACGTGCCCGCTGCAAGATGGGACTTCTGTCCATCCATCGAGGGTTAATAAATGTGTTGTTATTGTTGTACTTCGACTTGACGTGCACGAGTGGGATGGTTTTAAGAACACCAGTGGTAAAACAAGAGGAAAGCACAATGCTAAAAATGACCTACAGTCTCCTACATCGTCCTACAGTAGACCTATTTGATTTAAATGTTCTCATGAAATATAAATGACACGTAATCGCTGCCCGTTTCCTTCTACGTAGAACACACAAAACCAAGCCTACGTTATTAACTATTCAAAAAGTGAAAAAAGACCATGGACTGCAGATAAATGAGAATTATATATAAAGATGTATTATTCATATTATACAGAATTTAGGGGTTATTTATGCTCAGTACACAAAATAAAGCCCACAATGATTATTCAAAACTGAAAGACCATAGACCGTATAAATGATATGCAATTATAATTATATATATTATATACAGGCAATGCACTGGAGCGTGAAACAGAATGTAGGGCCATTAATGCTCAGTACTCAAAAACAAACATTATTACTTGGTTATAATTTTCACATGACAGTATATTAATGACTATGATTATTTACTAACTTTATTTAAAACAATATTAGACAATGACATTATTCACTTCGTGCAAAATCAGCAGATAGTTTATTGAAAAAATAGTCACACCTCCTACAATATATAACGGATATAAAGGCAAGATAATCTAATTTAGTAGTAAGGAACATGTAACATGCAATACTCAAGTGTAAGGAATAGAAAAAAATGACTTTGAAAAAACGGGGAAAGTATGTGCAGTGCGTGAAATGCAACATTACTTAATCTATACAGATGAGGACTTTAGAAAAAATATATATCTGTGACTTGCAATCATCGACAGTAGTTACCTCTTTCTCCTGGAAGTAAACCCCAACGTTTTCCCATTTCCGACAGCACCCAAACGCAGCAATAGACAGTAGCTGATGTTGCGTCTGCAGCCGCAGCGCGTGAACACGCTCCCGCTCACTGTCGCCTCACATCCCTCCATCTTTGCGTCTGCTCTCACACCGCAGACTCACCGCACAGGTTCATCACGAGCACAGACGCGTGAAAACATCGGGGAATCCCTCGCTTTGTTTTCGTGCTGACGCAAGCGAGCTCCACAGATCCCCCCAAAAACCTGGCTCATTTCAGGGATTAACAAAGTGGATCCACCGCTGTCGTCAGTAGATGGAATTCTACCGCACTGAAACCTGGATTGCAGTAATTTGACATGTTGCAATTTGTAGGGTTTGCAGAGACTCACGTGCCAATTCCATTTCTGATAATCGTCTTCCCCTCTTTAGAAAATGGAGCAAGGAAAACATTTTTATTATAACAATCTTATATTCGCCTGATGCACAAAACTACTCATATATAAAAATAAAACCAATAAATTGACGTTTTGTTTACAATCAGATGTGTTTAATATCCTATTGCCATTTGCTGTATTATTTAATCTCTATTTTCTTCACTTTTCTTAATCTGATTTTGTGTAAAAGCTGGACTAACTATTAATGTATGAAGTCTGTCATTAAGAAACAACTCTTTATTGACCAACATAAAAAAAATGTACGAGAAGAAACAAAAGTATCACCATTGTAACACAAAGAAACTCAGAAAATTAAATCCATATGGACCAAACAATTTGGTGCCTATGTACTGAATGTTCATTGTTATTAGTCGCTGAGCTCCTCCTCGTCACTGAAGTATGCGCTCTTTTTAATCCTCGGTTTCCTAGAATCTGAGGATGTTGACGCTTGTGCCTCTTGAGACATACGCGTCTGCTTCCTCTGTTCCTCCTCTTCCTCAATGTGGGCTTGCTGGAGGGATGCAAGAAAGAAGAAATATGACAAATTGGTGATTGTTTGTTCAAATTCCTACAACTTCCATGTCAAACAAGGATACATATTAAGCTCCTCTTTTCAATAAGTAAACATGTTTTTTTTCTGTAGTGATGTTTAGGTCACAAGGACAGAAAAATTACACAAACATTTCTAAATATAATTCAGAGTATCATATGCAAAACCTTGAGCCAGATGCTCTGTTGTGCACACTTACCTGAAAAGCTATAGCCTGGCTCAGACTGTCTAAGGCCGGGTCCTCTCCCTCTTCTTCACTTTCTTCTTCTTCCTCTTCGCTACAAGAGAAAAGATATAAGAATTAGGAAAACAACAGTCAATTATACAATATCTCACAATATTAGCTAGTAAATACTTACACATGCTCAGTCTGTTGATCCTTTTTCTTCTTTTTCTTTTCTTTCTTCTTCGGGGGCTCCCTCTCTCCCAGCATGTTTTTGGGGCACACGTAGCTCAGATGACCTGTATCCTGTCATTTTCATTCAAAAACACAAATAAAATGACAGTCAGACATCAGACAAGCTTCTGAGATATTTTCAACACACCACATTTTATTTTTCCCCAATTCAGAAAGGACTAATAACTTGCGATTGTGATTCAACAAATATGATCTTCACTCACTCCACATTCATAACATTTGGTCTTGTCTGTGTAGTTCCGCCTCCTTATGAACTCAGTTGCTCGTCCGTTGTCGACTGCAATGCTCGCTTTCACTGTTCTGCCAAACAACTGGGACATGAAAGCATTTGTTACTCTGACAAGTGAATATCAATTAAGAAACCAACAATAGCAAGGACACTGAAAGCCTATGCTTCAATACATGGACACCAATATTTCGTTATATAGAGGTGTATACGTCTTAATCTCATTATGAAGTTTACACAGCATTTCCAACATCAATATCCAACATATGCCAGTAGTAGGACATAATGTTGATGTGAGCTATAATCAGACTATGCTCTGTAACATGTAAACAGGAATATGAATGGAATATTCTATGAGCAACTCACGTAAACATCATAATAGAAATAATGTCTTATTCAGAATAGGGTTAATAGTTGAAATATTGTTATCACCACATAATCAGTGGCACAAGATGTGTGAAAGCACAACATGGACTCACCTGTTTGTTATTTACTGCTCTTGCACAGCTATGAGCCGACTCTCTGTCCAGGAAGAGAACAAACGCCACCCCTTTACTCTGGCGGGTGTCTTTATCTTTAACAATTGTAACCCTGAAACAGATTTAAAATGGAGAAACACATTAAGAGCATTCACCTGAACATTGTGGCCGATCTGCACCGGCTACAGATTGGTTTTCATTAATAATCACTCACGATGACAGAGCCGTGACTTACTTAACAACTTTTCCATATTTGGTGAACAGCTGAAATGACACAGAGAACATTGTCTCTATATGAGTTCACTCTTGTTTGTGATGAACAGACGTGATTATTAATATAAATTACCTTGTGTAGATCACTGTTGGTCAGAGAGAAAGGCAGGTTGGACACATACACTGTGCTTTTACTTGGTGCCAAACCTCCACTCATCCTGGACACACACAGCCACCTGACAAGACAAAAGCACTGTCATAAAATGTCTGAATAAACTGTAAACAACTCGCTACTCAGCTAGCCTTTACGCTACACTTCACTAAGTCCACCGTTCATTCTTGTCGCGTTTGTTATTATCAAGTTACTACAAACAGTTGATTGCCAATTATATATAAACTATATCAACCAAACGACTTACCGCCACCATCAGAAGATTGTTAATTCGCTTAAAATCGTAATATTTTAAGGCAGGAAGCTAATGGCTAGCAAACAGCAACAAACGCCATACTTCAACGTCGCAAGTTGATGACGTACACTCACCTCTCGTCCAATGAAAATCCTGTTATCCAACCGGGAGCGGCTAAGCTAACTATCCGCTAAAGGAAGGTGGGATTTGTTGTTTGCTATTTTCGTGGAATAAATCATCTTTTCAGTGGAGGTTAGCACACGCACGTGTATCGATAGGGCACATTGCTTCGTTGTACACATTGTAGGTGGTCTTTATGTCGCGGTAACGTTAAGCTAATCCCCGGGTGGAATGAAACGTGCGGATGTTTGCAGCATACATGGAGGCTAGCTAATTAACAATGCTAGCTGTTAGCTCTACATGGAGACACAGAAGCTAGGAGGGAATTACAGCTAAACAGGAGATGTTGCGTTTGTTTTTGTAACGTTGTTGTCTTGTTGGTGGGTCTGTTGCGTGTCAAGTAGTTGTGTGTGGGTGTTGTCGGTCAAATGGTTGTTGTGGGTCAGTGTGTTGTGCAGAAAGTGACCTCAACCTGCTCAGTGTCTGGATTCATCTCCAAATGCAAACACTGCTTCTCATGTTGTTCTCATTTCATGCAAACGGAGATCTCCCTCCTCAGTTTGTCTATGMACACCTCTTTAGAAATATAGGCACGAAAGCTTAATGCTCATATATGCTGTTAACACCGATTTCTCCTGTTGGTTGTTTTGCAGGTTGTGCTGATCATCTTATATAACACTCAAAGTGCAAAAGTAAGTTCTTAATCAACTCTGACAGTGCCTCAGTTTAACTGTGGATGAGAAACAAACTAAATATGTCTGCTGTTAGGTTACATCTGATATGAACAAAACATGGTCATTTGTAAGAGAATATTTCAAGTGGCACATACAAGGTTTGGGATAATATGTAGAGATTGTATGTGTTTGAAAGTGTTGCAAAAACTAGTCATCTGACTTAATGTTTTACTTTCGTTCTACTGGAATATCGCTGCTCATGAAGTTGGCTGAATGTCATTTGTAACCTTTATTTATTTATAGTTGTGTGGGATGAAATGTTCAGTGCACTCATCATCTTTCACTCTCTGCCCATTGCAGTGACATACAGGAGAGACAGGAGCATACGAGAGGTGTATGACGAACGCTTTTTAAACGAGAGACAAGTGAGTGTGAACCCAGGAGCTGCAGGATCTATTTTGTTGTCCTGGGATCCTGTATAACTTCTGCTTATCATTATTTAAAGTATACAAACACAGTGATGAATACTATGTCTTTTAAGAAGTTGGTATATGTAATTTATTGGTCAATGTTGAAAGAGAATATCACAGCTCAACTAAGAAAAATGTCTTCATGAATTTATTTTCCATATCAGCTGAAGGGGCAACATGTTGAAATAATCTGTAACAAAGCCAAACAGAAAATTCACCCAACAGCAATAAAAAAACAGAAACATAAAAGTACACGTAAATGTCAAATCCATCAAATGTACCTGTGCTGTTGTAGGGTCCGTACCCACGAGCAGGTGGACCAGTGGAGAGGAGGGGCCCCTTTGGCAGACCTGAGGATGACTACGGCCGGGGTGGGTACGACTACGAAGGAGGTCCCCGCTTTTTCCCGAATGGAGGCGGCCCCCGGAATTACCATGAAGATCAGAGAGGCTATCACGGCGACAACATTCATTTCCCTGCTGAGCGCAGAGCCGTTCCACCTTCAAGAAGGGTGAGAAACGTCACTGCATCTTTTCTGTTGTGATGTGCATATGAGCCAAGGCCTCAACTCAAAAGAACAGCATTAGACAAAATACTTACTGTCATTACACACTTTTTACACAATTTTGTACAACTTTGGACAAATGGCAGATGCATACCTCGTGAGTTAATCATGCACGCATTTAACTGGCCAGCTGAAGGCGCTACAGTAAATGGTTTACTTTAGATATTCTAAATTGCCTGTCTACCCTTACAGAGTTAAAGTTTCATGCCACAGTCAAAATCCAGTGATGAACTAACTCTGTGGCATTTTGTCTATACTTGGCATGTTCTGAAATGTTTGCAAATATTTTCAGTCACGAATCTAAGAGATTCGATTACATACACTGTAGGGAAGTAACTGGAGAAGAATGGAAGTTAAATGTGCTTCTTTAAGTAAAAAGACTGTTTGTTGTTTCAAGCATTATTTAATACTAAATTCCAAATCTCTACATTGGGACACATCCAAATCATGCAAAAGAAATTACATTTAGATTCAGTTTTTATTTTTATACTTTCTCAACTGTGTGTTGCAGGAGGATTTTCCTTACAGAGTACCCAGAGAGGACCCTCACACAGGACGGACTATGGAGTTTGGGTAAACTTGGCTCGCCACAGGTCTTCTGTGTTTGATTCCTCTGCTCCAGCTCAGGCAGGATCTCCTCAGGCCTCTGTTTGCAGTATTTCTCTCAAGACGAGCAATGATTGCTGAACAGTGGCAGAAATTAGTAGTAGTAGTAGTTGACCTGTGACTAGTATTGCATATGGAAAATTAGTCTTTTTATCCTGTGTGTTACGAGGTAGCAGTAACAATATTGTTATACAACTGACAGGCAGGGCTGTATGAGGTGGTGCGTTGTTGGGGAGGGCTTTCTGCAGCTCTCCCTGCCTGTTTGCAAAAGTCAATACTTTATACAGAGGCAAAATGTTACAAAAGACATTACACTTTGTATCCTTGTGTGTCTGCCAAGTGGCAACTGTACTAAGGCTTTTTTATTCCGATCAATGATTGCGAGTTGTGAAAGAGTGCAGAGGTTCGTTACGGCCTGTTGATTGGTGAGTTTGGTGCAAGTAAAGGTCAGAGGTCGGTAGAAAGGTGATGGGGAGTTTGGGAAAGGGTCACAGAGAGAGGTGTGTTTGAGGAATTTAAAGCATGAAGGGAGCACGAAGCTCTTTAGAAGCAGCTTCTCATCACCCTCTGATTCTTTAACATGAATAACATTGAGAAAAGCCTGGAGAAATGTTTCAAGTCAGGTTAAATCATGATGGAGAATGTTTTTTAAATGATCCAGGTACTGGATAAGTTTCAACTTATATGTGGAAATATATTGTGAGTAAGTCAAAACCATGTATGACTACTTTGTGTTTAATACTTCTCGAGTTTCATAAGACATTTATGCAAATTGGGGAAGGTGCACAAGCTTAAACATGAAACCAAAAGATTATTGCAATCATTGTTGGACCAGATGTTTTTATCTTATACAATATTTGTTTTGTGTATTTAATTATAACTACCTCATATTTTTTTTAATTACCTCAGTGCCCGTGCTCCACCTCCTCATAACGTGCGAAACCAGGGAATGTACCCGGCGCCCAGGTCGCTCCCAGAGAGTGGGGAGGACACACTCGTCCAGGCCATCCTCAACCTGGACAGAGGGTAATAATAATGATGATATCACGTTTTAATATAATACATTTAAATTATAATTAATCATTGATTACATTAATTGTCACAGTATCTTTGACATTCAGAATAGTTATCTAGTGTCATTGGTGTGAGTCCAGTGCAGTGGCCTTTTAACACCTCCAGATGGCAGCATTGGGCCTTGTTTGCACAGAGCAATAGTAGTTGCAGTGAAGACTCGTTCAGAACTGGTCACAAATGTCATTTAGCAAAAGATTAGAGGGAGAAGATTTTTCATTCACTGTGGAGCTAAATGTTTGAAGCATTAAAATTACAATAGGTCACATGTTCCTCTTCTGTTCCAGGGAGGACAGAGACCATTACAGGAGAAAGGCCGCCCCGTTCCCTCCCCTCAGAGAGCGCTCTCCCGTACGCCGTGAGGTGGCACGCTCCCCCCACAGTCGCTCCGGCTCCAGCGTCAGCAGCAGAGGCTACTCACCAGACAGAGCCAAGAACCTGCCATTTCCCTCACAGCAAGGCAAGAGTATGTAGAGTTCTTAGTTTCCCCGTCACCTGACGCAGCCCGGAGCTCGATCACATCAGGACAACCAATCACAAAAATTTCTTTCATTTTTTTTTTATTTTCTCACCTCTATTTTTTTTGTATTCACTTTCAATCCACAACTGATAATCTGGCTGACTGGCTTTGCAGGTGCAGATGGTCCAGATGGGGTCGTGGGTGTCACTGAGCACCTTTGGGGGTCGCTCTTTCCTCAACAGGGCGGACATGACACTATGGGTCTGTACATGGAGCCATGTGCACATGAGCTTGGACCTGGGTGAAGAATAAGGTCATCTGTTGTCCCTCGAATGTCTCTTTGCATCTTTGTCATGTCAGACAAATGCTGGCTTTGTTTATCTCTAAGTTGTCTGCCACTAAATCTTGAGAAAGATGCACGGATGGAGGAAAGAATTAATTTAACATCTGTAGATAAAATCATTGACAAATTCAAGTTTAATCCAAAAGAATATAATGAAGCACCTATATTATAACCTTAAGAATCCAATTTATACAGAAAACCTCTTTGACACTGAACTTCTTTCACCCAGGTCTGAAGTAAATTGCATCTCTTTTGTTTTTTTAATTAGAATTAGAACTGAGTGGCGATTTTGGTTTAATGGGGTCTTTCATATAAAACATTTCTACCGTCTGTTTCGAAGTTGCATTAGCACTTCTACACTGTACGAACACTGATCTGCAAATATTTATGATTTGAATGTTCTGGTCTGCAGCAATAAACAAAGATTGATCAGATTCTAGACTGTGCATAAAGATGGCCAACATAACAACTCAAAGCCAAAGCGTCTCCACCGCCACCTGGTGGCTGGCTGCAGTGTAGGTCGTAAATTCTTGGGAGATGGACCAAAATAAGAAGTCAAAGTAAAATTAAATCAAAAACATTTTTCTCAAAGATTATTTCTGTCACTTATCACAACAATCAATGTTCGAGTGCTGCCGCTCCATCCCCCGATCACTACTGCTCAGACTGCGGCTCTAAATTCGCAAAGATGTTCATCTCTGGCATAATTTCTTCATAGTTGGTGGAAGTGGAGATCATGTGTCGTCCATCTTTATTAACAGTCTATTGACTGGCTAACTCACAATCCTAAAACTAACATCTTGCTGAC